AGAATAGAAAGATCTCTAACAAAAGGAAACTTAAGGAGAAGGTAAATATACAATCAACTTTCTATTAACTTGGGCCTCAAGTTATTCTCTAATAACCTCTTTATCTCCAATAGTAGTGATGTCGATTTTATTAAGGATAGTATAATAATTGACCACCCCCAAATTGATTGTCAAGCCGCCACGTAGGATTTTTTACTTCACATATAAAAGAATAGATAACAAAGCTAGAGAAGAGTCCACATTCACCAAAAAGCAAGAAATGGAAATGATACTAATCTCTCTTTGCTTAATAACCTTCTTCGCCTTTTTCTTCATAAAATCACTCCTCAAACGAACCACAAGCACCAATCTTAACCTACCACCTTCTCCATGGCGGCTTCCGGTAATCGGAAACCTTCACCAGCTCAGCCTCCACCCGCACCGCTCTTTTCATTCCCTAAGCCTTCGCTATGGCCCGCTCATGCTCCTTCACTTCGGTTGTGTTCCCCATTCTCGTGGTCTCATATGCTGATGTAGCTCAAGATGTCATGAAAACACACGATCTTCGGTTTGCGAATCGCCGTAAAACGAAAGCTGTTGATATAATTATGAACGGTGGTCGAGATGTGGCTTTTTCCTCCTACGGCGAATACAGGAGACATATGAAGGTATGATATTCTTATCGTTTCCAAAGTGGCGAAACATTATCGAAATCATTATTAAAAAAATCGAACCATGATCCAGGGGATATGTATATTATTATCATGTATTATTTTCCTTATCTTCAACACTTAAATAGAGTATGATGCGAGTTACAAACATAATTGATATAAGGGAGTTTATCTTTTCATGCTAATTTACTTTTTTTGTTCCTGGTTTAAAACTAGTTTATCTTTTGAATTAACTGATAATTGTTTTAAAAAAATCTACTTTGGATAAAGAGTTTATGCACTGTCCATCTCCTTGGCAAGAAAATGGTCAAGTCCTTTGAGAAAGTAAGAGAAGAAGAGATTACTGCAATGATGGAGAAGCTTGAGCAAGTGAGTTCTTCATCTTTGCCGGTAAATCTGAGTGAATTCCTCCTTAATTTGTCTAACAATGTGGTAAGTAGAACTGCTATGGGAAGAAAATATAGCCGCGAGGAAAACACTAGCGATTTTGGAAGACAAGTGAGAATATTCATGGAGCTTCTAGGTTCATTTCCCGTGGGGGATTACATCCCGGGTTTGGCGTGGATAGATAAAATCTGCGGTTTGGATCGAAAAATGGTGGAAGCAAGCAAAACATTTGTGAATTTTCTAGAAAGAGTGGTAAAAGAACATGTAGTTGATTTATCTCTCAAGGCTTATACACAATGCTCTTTGCCTATCTCAGCATTGGAACATGGAGATATTAGTTGCGATGGAATATATCTCATTCTACGAGCAAGAAAACGACCACAACGAGACGTTACTTAAAATTTCCAAGCTCAATTCAAAATACTACAGATTCTCTTATCTTAAGGAGCTCAAAATCGTTACAAAGTATGTAATTTCTTCAAATACAAGTATTTCAACATGGCTTGAATAGAGTCCATGAAGAAATTTTCGTCACTTGTTTAATTCAACCATATATATACATGTGTGTGTTTGGATGCAAGGTGGTACAAGGAGCTCAACTTTAAATCTAAGTTGCCACCTTACTTCAGAGACAGAATCGTGGAGTTACATTTCTTTGTATTATCGATGTACTTTGAGCCACAATTCTCACGTGCGAGGATTATGTGTTAGAACTCGTTTTTGACAAAATGGTTTACGACCATTTTCCGGTAAGATTTCCAGTGAAGACGTTTATCGGAATGACCAAATTTAAGGCACGATAAAATCGTCGCTGTAAACACTATAATATAGTGTAATCACTTGTCAAAATCGAAATTGATTTGAATAAAAAATGGAAGTCCAAGTGCTAGCTTGAAAAGTTTGAAATATTGACTAAAGGTCAAATATTGCACTTTGGAAGTTAGAGGATAAATCTAGCCGTGCCGTGTCGTGCCGAGCCAGACTAGATTGGGATTTGGAAATGGGCCTACGACCCAAATTATTCACTTGCCCAAATATGCTTAAAGTCATAATGTTGAAAAAATCAACAATTATTTCTTTAATTGTGAATTGTGTAACAGCAAAAATATTTCATGACAAAAAAGAATAATGACTTTAACGTTGAGATTCAATTCTCATAACTCCTCTTGAATGCTCCAAATAAACGTTGAGTGCACTGGCTATATAATAAAGGCCTCATCTTCTCATTTGATGACGATATACGATCATCACATGATCATAAGATCAACAACAACAACATCTCTCACAATCTTTTTTATTTTATTTTGTTTTGTGTCTGAAAGTATAACACAGATTTTAGCGTTCGTGTGATTCTGTTCTTGAGTTGTGCAAAACAAGTTGATTGCAGTTGTATCTTGGGATTCAGAACGTCACACAACCATCACACTACTGGACTTTTTCAGAGTTAAAGATAGAGAACATATCTCGCCTCTACATATTTGTTCTTATCCTAATTCATGTATCGATATTTTTATTGTAATATCGGTCTATTTATGTATTTCATTTTACAAATATCATTTTGTCCAATTGTAGTAATTTGAGTTTCTATATTATGTTGACTAAGTTCTACATGGCCGAAACCATTATCGATGATACTTTCGATAGATATGGTTCTATTCATGAAGCTGAAAGTCTCGCCAACAGCATAGAAAGGTTAGCTACGTAGTAAAATTCCACATAAATAATAT